CAAAAAACAGAGTTTGAGGGATACAAGAACTTCATAAACTGCACAGTCCTAAACATGATACAGAAGGATATTGCAGCTGTTTATGGTGCTCCTGGCCATTTAACCGGGATGCTTTGTCTGTTCAACTGTGCATAATTGTGCGTATTGTCTTCTCTCTTGCCTTTTTAAGTATGTTTTAACAGTGGCTAGCATTCACTCTTGCTTCCCCTGTTCCACCTAATGAGCATGAAACACGGGCACTGTCACCATGTTAAGCCTCCTTTCTTTTAATTATCTTTCTTCACATCAGTTGGGTTGACAAAGGTTGCCTCTCGTCGAAGTTTAGTCGGCTTAGCACCATGGAGGGATGTTTGGTAAAGAGAAAATGTCCATCTGTGGTGTAAGTGACCTGTTGACATGATATACTTTTACTGAAATGTTTGATTTGAGTTAGGCTTCGTCTAGCCGGAGTTTCATATGCTAACTTGGTTTTCTCCTTGGGCATCAAATAACGGCATTTTCTTGCAAGTTGCTGTTTCACAGTTAATAAGCTGTTGGCTGTATGTTGAGCTTTAGGCACCAGACTACTTGATTAGGTTTAGGAAAAGGTCATGTCTTTAACTATTTGACACTTAACCAGTGACACATGTGTGCTTAAAGCGGTCCTGAATAATCATCCATATGTGACAATTTGTGAATGAGACCCTTCTTACCATTGCCATTACCCAGTGCATCAGGGATTTGCCAAGGTACACCTTGGCATATCTGCCAGCCACTTTGACAAAGCAGTAGTATAAAGAACAGCCAGTGAAATCACGCTCACCTACATCTGCCCCGGCAACGTTATATAAAGTTGTGGAAACGTTTATCATTTAAAATGAATTTCGTCAAACTTTTGAAGCCTGATTTAGATCTCATCTTTAAAACAAAGCAACTGTATTTGTTTGTGTTTGTTTTGTTCTCCCGCTCCCACACAGAACATATTTGGCATCACACACTGAGATGCTAAAAGCTGAGAACAACAAACTTGGAGGAGAGGTGGCAAAACTGTTGCCTTGACAAACAATGGGATCTTTTAGGCCTCGTGATGTCTCCTTATGTGATACAAGACTTAACCAGTTACCAACAGGTTCATATATAAAAGAGAAGTTGCCAAGCACCTGTATGTCATTTTGGAGATAAATCACTGTCCTGCAACAGGTGCATGGATGAATTTTTGTTTCAAACCTATGAGGTGTTGGTTAGACTCTGAATGTATGAATGAGAGTTTCCATGTATATATACAGCAACTCACAGCCACGGGTTTGCAATTTCTGCTGATTTATCACAAACAGATCCAACTGCAGACAGACTGACTGTCTCATTGCTGTTTCATTGCTTTCTTGATGCATCAAAGTTGCTTTGAAGATAGCAACAGAGTGCGTGCGCTTGCAGACCTGGTCCCTGCGTTGGAAGCAGCCATTTTGGAGGCAATGAAATTCCAATTAAATTGCACATGATTGCAGTCATTTTGATCATACCGTGGTCTCCAGCCAGCGTTTTCCTTAGACTTGACTGTAGCATTACAACATTCCTATATTGATTTCATGTAAATTTTGCTCAGCTCAGTTCCTCATAACATAGTCACGATATGCTGAACTGGTTTAAACTAACTGTATTTGTGAAAATGCACAAAAGAGTTTCACGTATGGGTGAGGGCTATTCAGCATACACAGCAGCACTAAAAGCGAGACAGGAACAGCACTGCTGCCACCGTGCTAACAGTGACAGCAATGGCAAGCACAGTTATGTGGAGATTTCTCACACTGGCTCCCTCCCCCAAGCCTTCCAACCACCTGCTGGACTAGATAGCAGTTGAGCATCGGTTACTAGACCACACCACTTACTTTGGCATATTTTGCATTACTTTGAGCAATTCGTATAAAAAAAAAGTGTCGATCCATTATAGAGCATATAAGCATGCCATGTTTGGCAGTCTTCACAGAATTCTATCTTTTTTTTTAATCCATGGTTGAATAAAATCACTCGGATTGTTAGGGCCTGCACATAATCATCACATGCCGGTCCACATTCCCCTCGCGGCAGTACCAGTAGTTCTGATAAAGCTGCTGAATGTTTATAAGTATAGACTTCACACAGTGTCTGCTGTGAAGCCAGCAGTGTGCTTAGAAACTTCGCATTACACCTGTGCTTTTTCCGACTGTGAACTTGAAAAAGGCAGATTGACAGTATGTCAAGTGATTGATAAAAAGTGTCAGGATCTCACCACCACCAATTTCTTCTAATGCCTTACAGCTGTGAGAAGCTCCTCCAAAAATCAAGCATTTTTTTAGTTTTCAGAGTGTCACTTGACAATACACTCAAAACCTGCATGAGCGAGCTGTGTATCAGTGAGTCACAGCTCCACCCAAAGTACTTTAACTCCATTTTCAAACCAGTTCAAGATTTAAGCATTTTTTTGTATATACATACGAGTTTCATTCAAAGTTTGCATTCATTGCCACAACACTGCTATGTCTTTACTTATTTCCAAAAGTAAAGACATATGTACCAGCAGCATGCGCAGGCGAATCACCCCACTCTAATTGATTAAAGAACTGAAAATCACAAAACCAGCTTGCTATCGTCATTCTGCTCCAAGCAAAAATCTTTAATATGCCACATTCCAGTTCTTGTAAGCTTGATGTCTATGCAGAGCTCCAGTGTTTTGTCTGGTTGGACAAAGATGTTCTCTCAGATTTCACTTGCAGGCATCAGTATTTTTGCTCTGCTGTCAGCTTGTCAGACCAGATGTAGATTGATTCTGTGAAACAAAGCTGCAAGGGTAATCTGGTGAGACATAGGGATACAGGTGGAGTAGAGATGAAAATTAAGGCATAATGAAAAAGAATTATTGGAAGATTTATCAATTTTTAAGTAATAGTGTGGTCAAATTTAAAGCAGCATCACTATGTCTATTTCTTAGTTAATGTTTTGCATGGATGAGATGTGTATTTTCTGCAAGAAGGAAGCAGAGTACATTTGGCCAGAGGCAAAATTGATATTCCAGCCAAGTGCGACACCCAGTTAGGCCTCACGCCCTCATTGAAGTCTCTGTGCTTTCTATCTGTTCTGTAAGACAACGCTACACTTCCATGTGTTGATAAGGAGATGGTTATTGAGCTAAAATTAATTAAAAATACATCCTGTCTTTTCTTGGGATACTTTCTGAAGGGCAGCCCAAGCACATTTCAGAATTCATTAGCTGCTTAATGATCATTGCCAGACTGGTACTCTCACTAATGTGCCAATCATATTCACCAGTTTAAATTTCTTTAAAAGTCTGAGGGCTATCCAGAAACCATGGAATGTGTCTTCAGTTAATTTAGCACACGCAAGGAGAAAAATATCACAGCAGATTCAATGTCATTGGAAAGTTCATATGCATTTCAACAATGCTCTTGCACTTTGCCTTTGTAGGAGAAATTCTGCATTTTATTCATTGCATGGTGCATCTAATGATGTTCCTCTGACCAAACAAGGAAACTGAAAGTCATTAGCTGTGAGAAAGGTCAATGCACGCTGGATCCACCTTTTCTTCTGCAGCACCCATTGTGATTTTGCCTAGGACACATTTTTGCTAGTAGAGAGTTCTGCCCCTAAAGATCACCCCACCAATAATTTCTTCTTGTCAGTTTGCTTCCGTTGATGAGGAGGATGTACTCTCTTTGTAGCTCTTATGTTTACATCATTTTAAGTAAGAAGAGAACTGTAGAAAAGATCTAAAAAACAAAAATGAGCATGCAGAATTATTTTTGGTCCCAGATGAAGGAACATAGTAGATACTTCTGTTCATCTGGACGTAGCGTTTTCAGTTGGAGAAATATTTCATCATCGTCCAAGTGGCTTCTTTAGTCTCAGCTGACTGCAGGTTTCCCCAACCTTTTAAACAGTACCTTTGCACAATGACTGAAACTAGTACCACTGACTAACAATGAGCTATGAGGTCAGTTTCTTGATTATCTTGATATGCTAATTGTCATAACCATTGGTCAACAACCACCAATCAAAGACCATGAGTACCATTCACAGAGAGTTGGGGAATGGCTGCAGTCACAGAATTGTATGATGGTTACCCTTAGGCCCCTCCTCGATTCAGAGATGGTCTTTCCCTTTTCACGTAAATGGCCTCCTTGACTCCGCGCTCAAACCAGCGTTCCTCCCTGTCCAGGATGTGTACATCCTCATCATTGAAAGAGTGTCCACTGGCCTGTAGGTGTGAATAGACTGCAGAGTCCTGGCCTGATGAATTAGCTCCTCTGTGTTGTGCCAACCACTTACCCAGAGGTTGTTTGGTTTCCCACTGAAACTTTTCTCTCATTGAAAACGTTACATCCAGATGAACATAATTAAGTTTTTGGGATTTCCTCACCTGGATGATTGAGCATGCATCAAGACATAGTGATGCTAAAGTTTTGAATGAGATGACTTGCACAATGTGGCTGATGAAGAAACTAGAGCAACAAGAAAAGCTCACATCACCAAGAAAAATAGTGACCGAACCTGCGACATGAGGGGAGATGTTATGTTCATTTCTAACTCTTTTGTTTTGTGACTCAGTGAGAGTAGCTATCCATGATTCACGGTTTAAAATCAGTCTTTATTGTACACACACACACACACACAGTACAGTGTGTGTGTGTGTGTGTGTGTGTGTGTGTGTGTGTGTGTGTGTGTGTGTGTGTGTGTGTGTGTTATACAGAACAGTGGTGTTTCCACTGTGTTCATGTATGTCTGAAACGAACCATTTCAGCTCCTTTTCACCAAACTTTAAAGACAACTCTCTCCTCTTATCAGTGATATCAGTGATATCTACAGGAAAAGCTACTGGGATTACTTTTACATGTGTCGACTATATATAAAAATAAGCAAAAGCATAATAGGCCCTCTTAAATTAATTGAATGTATAAAGGTCATTTGCGTAGTTTCCCAGCTAAAGTTTTTGATTACTTGACTAATAATTATGTTCCTGTTTCCATCAGGTGTCGAGAAGGATACCAAGGAATCCGCTGTGACCAGTTTCTGCCCAAGACTGACTCCATCCTGTCGGACCCAAGTAAGACGCACTTTGTTTTTCTTTTCTTTTTTTTAACCTCCAGTGGATACAGTGTGTCTAGATCTATGATACAATAAGTCCATAAACTCAAATGTATAATAAAGAAGTGAACACGAGAGAAAAAAATCTCATTCTGAAAGGGTCTGGGTCCATAAGATCTATTTTTCAGACTATTGATCTACATCAATAACCCAAAAGGAAAAATGAAATATTCACTAGCATATATTGAGAGTTACTGAGCATGTCCTTGCTGCCGCTCCTTGGTCTGCTATGCAAACCAGACATACAGTGTCAGTATGGTTCATACAGAGTAAAAATAGGAGTCTTTTCAGTGTGTTTGACAGTTTACATTTAAAACTTGTCATACATGCATATATCATATTCCTTCAGAGGTGTTATTAATCATGGCAGCAGCAAAGCAATCATGGAAGGGCTTTTCCCCTTGAGCGAAAATATATCTGGATATTACATTTAGTTTGTACCCTGAAATGCACATGCATTGTATAAAGTAGATTTCTTTTAATCTTGGCAGCTATTATTCTACTTGCACTGATTACTTTGTTTCCAGGTGAGTTTGACCTCCTGCTTTGAATTCCAGCAGGGCTGTGGGCTTAGAAATATGATACAATATGATTCCTCGTCAGATTCAGCCAATGTTTTCTAATTTTTTGATTTTAGACAGGTGAAGACGCTGAGAAAGATAGATGAAAGCCAGATATCAACATATTCCACATTCTTGACAACAATCACCAGTAGTTCAACAGTGTTCCTTCTTTTTATGTTTAGGTAGCAATAATTTATAGAATATTCAGCATTCCAGCCTTGGCTGTCCTTCCTTCTAATGTTCGCTGCACTTTCTTTACACAAACTCATAATCTGTCCTCCTATTACCTTTTCATTTTCTCCTCTCTTCAGTGCCTTCTCAAATATCCTCTCTGAGTCAGACTAATGTCACTTCTCTCATTTCTTTATCTCCCAAACACACGGTGCTCTCAATGTCACACAGTTGAGGGAAGAACACAAATTGCCCTAACTTATGTCCTTACTCCTCACTATCTATTCCATATTAATTTCCCAGGTCTCCTCAGCTCATTCCAAAAAATATGCAACCTTGTCACGCGGGCACTAACGTTGTGGCAGTACAATAGCTTATCTGTGACTTTTTTACTAACAAGCACCATGCTGTAATAGCACTATTTACCATAAATGGACAGAGATACGCCTTGGAATTTTTACCCCATAGACATCCAATGACCCAATGTCCAACAAAGGAGACTCACTGCAGTGTTATTAAAATCTAAATTCCCTGTTAGGAATATGAAGTGTTATACATGATTGCAAAGGAGAATGAGACATGTTGATTAGATGTGGCGAATGCAGCATTATTGCTCGCTATTTGTTAATATCCTTTACTTTCCAGATCATTAATTAAGTCTCTGTAATGAGGTTTTTAATTCCAAATGAGTATTAGGGTAATTGTCCTTGTTAGAACAACAGCAGTGTTCACTGAAGTGACACCCATCGCTTTGTTTGTACACCAACCTACTGACCTGAATGTATTGGTAGCTAAGAAATGTTACCACCCCCATCACTTAGCTAAGCAATTTGTCAAATGTCAGAGAAAAACAGCTCCTGATTGTCATTCTGCTTTGCTGATCCAACTGAAGGCACATTAGACATGATGTTCGTAGCACCATTGTTCTCTGAAACAAAGGGAACAAAGGGGGGTACTGCAGCAGGTACTTGTACTAAGAGAACAAACGTATTTGATGGTATTTTGATAATTACCCCTTTGATCTGTACACTACCTGTAAATTTAATAAAAGCTTCCAGAAAAGTCTCGGAGAATTTGGTACACATTTAAAATTAATATTATTTACAATATTCATATTACTTTTTAGCATGCACTATTAGTATTATTAATAGTGAATGCTAAAAGGTCTATTAACTACACAACGGGAGACGAATATACAAAAAATACTTGTAATTTATCTCCATATAATAGATGGAAGTTAACAAGTGCTCCGAAACTCACCAGAAGTTTTGCTAGAAATAATATTACTAAGCTGTGAAATGAATTCAGTCAGTTAATTAATTGGGGATTGGATGTTCAGGTTTATTTCTGGGGGGTTTTTTTCTCTCTCTCTTGCCAGTGACATGCATGTTCAAGCAGGTTGAGGTCAGATGTCAGACTTGCACCTGTCCATGAGTAAAACTGTGCATAAGAGTGATTCGTGAATCTTTTTTGTACTTTCAGAGAAAAAACTGCATGCCCTTTTTGTTCTTTAGAAAAAATACTTGTAGGACATAATGTCCTCCAGGGGTGAAGGAATTAGCATTTAGGTGAGAAAAACCGAACTTTTACCTAACAAAGAACCACACGGTAACCATAGCTTCAAATTGGTTTTCTTATCTCACCTACTATTTCTCTCTGTGATAATAGCCAGGATTCTTCGAGGTGAATTTCCATACAAATTGTCTAAGCATTACCAAGCCATTATTGTGCATTGAGAGACCTCAAATTAAATTAATCCAGCACTATGAAAAAGGAAAACAGGGTCCTTTTAAAAAAAGTTTCTAAATTATTCTGGCAAAGACAAACACACACAAAAAATAAAAATAAATAAATAAAATAAAAACTCCCACCTCCCCCACACCTTTCTGTTTGCTTTAACCTGCACTACTCCATCATTCACTTCTGATCTTTTTCATCTATTTTTGCTACTTTCTCCAATTCTGTGCCTGTCCTCAATTCCTTTTCTAAAAGAGAAAAAAAAGATTGTCCTGCTTTCAGGTCATTCTCAACGGTTTCTATTTCTTTTTCAGCCAGCGGACCCATTTTTGACACATCTCTGTTTTCTGTTCTCTACAATGTTGTCTAGGCAATGGATTTCTTTTTACAGTAACACCATCTTTTTTTCTTTCTTTTCCCTGTTTTATTCAACTACGTTCTCCTCGAAAAGTTGGTAAGTGCAAAGTTGGAAAAGAAGAGTGGCAGATTGTGGCCTTTCTTCTTTCCTCAACCCTTAGATAATCTTGTCACAGCATCACTCTCCTTGACTCCTTTGCTTGTAGTTAATCAAATCCTAATTTCTCAGGTTACCTCTGTGTCTCGTGCTCGAGCTTGCCTCAGTGTTGACATCCCTGTTCCCTCTTCCAAATTTCCCTCCAGACAGCCCTCTCGCCCCCATCTGTCTCTTGCTAACCTCCTCCGTGCCATCTTTTGCTCACCACGCATCTTGTCCAAGCATCAGACCTTATCCCTTCTCCCCTGCCTACAGTTTTCTGTCCAACTCATCTCCTAACACTAAGTGGCAGGGCCTCAGATTGACTGAGGTTTGAATTGCGCCAGCTAAAAAGGTTCACCAGCAGGGCAGACAAACGCTGCCAAGGACCTCTGGCAAGCTGGGGTCTCAGTGGAAAGGAAGGACGGGCACGAACGAGGAGGAGAGAGGCCGGATGAAAGTGCACGTCTTGTGAGGAGGGCTATCGCACTGTCTCAGGGTCTCCAAGGATGAAAGCAGTGCCGTGACTCCAGTGACTATACAAGCAAAATCACAAGGCAGCCAATGAGGAAGAAATTTTGTCTTCTGAAGGAAACAGGCACAATCATAAGTTGTATTATAAAGTATTGAATAATGGATGCGTAATCAAATGGAATATAAGAAATGGCATCAGCCAGGGTTACATTTAATAGATAACCTGTAGAGGAAGGAGGTAAAAGATCATGTACAACATCTTTATTAATATGTCGATATGATTAAGTTAATTATTATTATAATTTAAGCGACGATACATCAAAACACTGGGGAAGCTTTGAGAGTAAGAGCTGCCAGATTGATTTATTTTGCTCAGTAGTCAAAAGTAGAAATATTACTTTTGCTGTTAGATAAAACGTAGAAATGCAGCACATTCTCATTGCTTCTAAGTTAAATTTTTATATAACAGCTTCAAGCTAAACCATTTAAAACTGTGGGTAACCACTTAAAAGCAGCCACATGCAGCTCAAAATGCAAACCCAGAGAATTATAATGTAAACTCTTTTCAAATTATCAAAAGACGCAAAATATGCTGGAATAATATTTTATTCCTTGGAATTTCATTGTTTCAGTCTAGAGATGGGCAAACAGGAAACAATTATCTAGAATATTGTCTGTAAGTCAGTGGGAATGGGGAGTGGGCTGACAGAGAATTTTGCTCGTTTGGCTCTGTCCTGGTGTAAAAATACTACAAGCTGAAAAAAGTCAGCCTTTCAGTGTCGTATGAAATAAATGGCAACAGTATAACCATTTCAAAATAAGGAATGTGGATGTTGTGCACACCCATTCCCAGGTGGGTACAGGACAAGGTCACAAAGGGATGTGAGATGCTTTAATATTTTCTCTGGCAGAGAAATGATAGCACCTGGCAGTCACGATTTCTTAAAATATGTGGGAGAACTTGGAAAATACAGGGTTTAAAAAAATATGTGGTGTAATGAGGAGCCCAACTTAGCCAAGTCTAAAAGAATAAAGGCAAAACTTCCAAACTATACGGAGGCTGAGCACAGCTTATACGTGACTCACTGATGCACATTTAGTTCTCTAAATGCTGGCATGGCTTAACACTGTGCTTGTCACCCAACTTGTTTGACAGGATGTCTTTGAGAGCAGAGATTTATTTAGGTTTCTCCCGAATCTGTCAAAGAGCAACAAAGGCTTTTTGTTGCCATCCTTACATGCAGTATGTCAAATCTTTTCATTGCTCAAGAAATTGAGTTCAAACTCTCTTCATTGTCAACAAAGCTTTTGTTGTTCAAACTGGAAGGTTGCAGTTTGGCACTACGTATCCTGAAGAACTTTTACAGTATTCAGGAACAACCACAGATAAGACCCAGACCATATTTTCTTTAAATAGTTTTTATCTCTTCTTGCTTCCTTACATTAATCTCCTTCTTTACTGCTTCCATGATCTACATGGCCTTTCAATCATTGCTCTGGCCACATTAAAAAACATATTGAAAGCTTCTGAACTGAAGGCCCGGGAGCCAAGACGCTGTAGTTTTACAGCGTTGTAAGGGAGACTCAGAATCAGCATATTTTCATCTATAGCACATGCATCATATCACACCCCACAGACGCAGCGAGAAAGATTTACTGAGTTAAACCAGAGAACAAATTTACAAATTCACACTATCTTTATGAGATCTGATTTCATGCTTTGCAGGTTTGTGCGCGCCACAGACAATAACAGTGCAGTAATCATGCAAGTCCAATTTCCAAAAGAATACAACCCTGTATTTCACATCATACTGCATGTTTCAATCCGTAAGATATAAAGGAAACATAAAACCTGTGATTTCTTTAAGCTTCCAGCTTTTATCACTGACCAACTGTTGAGGCAACAAAAATATGAGTCACCTTGTATAATTGTGGCTACAATAACGATCTGCTGAGCTTGTGATGAATGGTGTTTGTTCACCGCCGTGGAAATATCTGCGAACAAAAAGAGACCACAAACTGAAAATCGCTCATCAAATGTACATATGCAGTATTTTATAAAAGAACTACGCATGAATGGTATTTCAATCTAAGGCTCCATAGCCCCCAGTGAATGTTTCAGAAGCAATGGTCATTTGGTTTTCCTAGAAGTTAGACACGAAAACACAAACTTCTGTGTTCAGTTAAAATAAGACCAGACACATATTTATATACAGGCAATCGCAAAGTAATTTGTCATCTTCTGCTCCCACTGGGATTCAGGAAGAAGGCTTCTTTTCTAAGATGGGTCTTCTCAGATCAATATCATTAAAAGAAACTAAAAATGCTAGCTCTGAAAGGAAAGCAATGTGTGTTTCCACTGGGCTGAAATCAGTCCTGAATGATCTGTCACCTGTAGGTGATTTTAATATTGCCTGTTCAGATATGGTCATTGCAATAAGATGCAATGTTGCTCCAGCTCTAGATGATTAAAGTCGTTCTTTGTAGGCGTTACATTATAGAACAGGCAGTATAGATGACTAGCTCGAAAAACATAGAGCAGTAAATGTCTAAGATAGCGGAACAGTTAGCGCATACAACGCTTCTACCACATCCTTGGTTTACTCTTCTCAAGTGAAGCTGGCACATTTCTTTAAGTGAAGGTTTGTGTTTTTAAAGGGTGAACTGTGCCTTACATTTTTGCATTCATGTTTCTGCATGCTTGAGTCCCCTTCCTGGCATTGTCACACAGTTTCAGAAAGTGCAAAGTGGAGTCTCACGAGGCACCCTGTTGAATTTACACCATATGAAAGACAAGGAGGAAACGAGTACTGATACCAGCAATAGCTCTGGTATCAGCCCTCCTTCTTACACTGACTCATTGTGGGAAGGTAAATCCATATCCTACCACAATATGGACAAAGAAATGTCAAGTCTGCATGACTGACAGCTTCACAATACCAAAGTCTGAGGGGGTCTGATCGAGTCTAGCGCTTAAGATGAGAAAGTTAGGAAAGTTGTATAGAGAAGCAGATTAAAAGCCTTTGAATCTTGGCTCAAGGATGTGATATATTTTACCTGAAAATATTTTTTAAAAAGATATCGCTTGCTTTGTATGGATCTCTACTTCTGAGGCACAGACTACTTTTAATTGGCATTTGTCTGGAGTGAAGAAAATGGCCACATTCACATCTAGACTACCCATTAAAGACAACAAAAGAATCCTCTTTTTGACAGCAGGTGTCTTTGAAACCAGATGAAAAGAATCCATCTTGCACATTTGTAATTTTCAGCATCTCCCCCTCTCACTGTGTGTTTGTTTGTGCATACATGCAAGAAGCTGCATGGGATTACAAATAGCGCAATAATCTATGAGCTTCTGTTGTTATACTTCAATAATCAGGCAGCAATTACACTCAAATTTAAAAAAGGTCCACTTCCATGGATCCAAACCAGCACCAGAGTAAATATAAAGCTGAGCTACATTTGTTGGTTACTAATGTAAGTGTCATTTTATGTAGTAAATGTTATAACATGTTAACTGACAAATGCTGTACATCTCCTGCAGCTATAGAAAGTGAAACATTCTTCATATGTAAAAAGTGGCTTTGTTGACTGCGGCCCACAGTTCCACACACAGTGTTGGCTCTCTGGAATAGCTTCCTGTCACACCGACATGTTGTCATTATTATAATTAGTTCCACCTGCGTTTTTCCTGATTAAATGAGTCACCAGTCTGCAGGAGTTCACCATATCATGACTCAAACATAAAGAGGGAACAGGCGGCAGTGGTGTTGCTCCTCAGCAGGGCTCCACAGCTTCACCCTCGCTCTCATCAGAGACCTAGGCCCTGCTGGAAGCAGCACAACAGATGCGAATTTACTGTGCACTGCAGAGAAAAAGGAGATCGTAAGAACAGAGAAAAAAAGTGAACAACAGAATATAGCAAATAATGTTTATCGTTTAAGGAAAGACGCACTGGAAACTGAAATACCTTATTGTAGAATCTGAGGTGTCCTTGTGGGATTTTGAGCACATCCAAAATGAACTGTGCCTCACCTAAAAAGCAGATGAAAGCAGGTGGCAGCAGCACGAGTCTGAGGCATGCAGTCTAGTGAGACTCGCACGTCATAGCGTCATGTCATCAGAGCCCAATCTGTACTCTGTGTTCAAAAGTTGCAATTATGACAGACTATCATATAATCACATTACACTTTAGCATCAATCTGACAGTTTTTCTTCTGGTCTCAGAATACTTCTTAAAGAAAAGCGTCTGGACTTCTTTAAGTTGCTTGAAGACGTTTCACCTCTCATCTGGGAAGCTTCTTCAGTTCTAAGGTCAAATGGTGGAGAGTCCCAGATATAAACCTAGTGGGAGTTTCCTCCCCAAAGAGGGACAAAAGGACCCCCTGATGATCCTCTAATCACCTGAGCCAAGGTGTGAAAATGGGTGTGGGTCCCAATCAGCCAGGGTTTCGGGTGAGATCATTATGAAACCTGGCCCCACC